CAAAACCCACCCGATCGCCGGCGGTTGTTTTTTATGGAAGCAAATTGTTACAATATTTCAAATGAAAAAGCATTTCTGAAAATGCTTTTTCATTTAAAATATGGTAACGATTTGCAAGTGGCTGCGTTGTTTGGCTCATAAATTAAATTAGTAATCAATAATCTTGTTTGCATTTTTATTTTCTTCTTTAACACTGCTCATCTTTTTACTTAATTAAAATGAAAAAGAAAAAGACATTTGATTTATTTTTCAAAATGTAGCCCAGCAAATACATTCCAAAATTCAATTTGAAAATGAAAAAGCATTTCCAGAAATATTTTTTCATTTTAAGAATGTGGCTGCATTACTTGACTCATAAATAAAATTAGTAATCAATCATCCTATTTGCATTTTCTTCTTTCAGACTGCACATTTTATGCAATAATCAAAGAGAAAACACAGCGGACATTGCTTTTTTGTTTTCGTGGTCTGTCTACAAAGTACTGTCCATAACTCGAAAACGAAAAAGCATTCTGAGCGGCGGGTGCTGCAGAGTGACGTCAGCATCCACTCTTCCTCAGGTCCTTGCTGACTGGGCTACCCATCTTGTTCGGTAGGGGGCGCTGTGCAAATCTGCATTGCATTACAATGCAGACGTCACGCGTCAGTTATGAAAAGTACTTTGCAGGCAGACCACGAAAACAAAAAAGTAATGTGTGTTTTCTCCTTGATTATGGCATAAAATGAGCAGTCTTAAAGAAGAAAATGCAAATGCAAATAGGATGATTGATTACTAATTTGATTTATGAGTCAAGCAATGCAGCCACATTCTTAAAATGAAAAAGCATTTCTGGAAATGCTTTTTCATTTTAAATATGGTAACAATTTGCTTCCATAGTTTTTATAGCGTTTACAACTAATAACCCAAAATGCATGAAAATTACATCAGTAAAATCTTTTATCAATATAGACATGTTAGACGTCGTTGGGAAGCTTAGATTCTCCACAATTCAACTACCAATTTCATTTTATGGACACAGCGAGCAGCAATGCACAATTAACACAGATACAGCAGCACCAACAAAATACCGTTAAAGGCGTCCAGAAGTGTCTATTATTAAATCTTTTCAGAAACTAGAAGGTGTTAGCTTTCAAATTATGTATCACACATTCAACCTCTTAAAACCCACCGTTTTAAAGTGTTTACAAATAATGACTCAGAATGCATGAAAATTACACAGGTAACATTTTTTACCAATATAGACCTGTTAGACATCATTGGAAAGCTTAGATTCTCCACAATTCAATCGCTTAGTTCATTTTATGGACATAGTGAACACCAAAGCACAATTAACACAGATAAAGCAGCAGGTCAAAATGTTCCATGACAAAGCAACCACAACAAGCAAGCATGTCTTTATAACTGCTGTTCAAAAAAGACCTATTATTTTTTGAGAATAAAAAACAATTACTTTGAGTTATGTTTGAACCGATGCAGCTTGGGCTGTGTTTTACTCACCCAATTTTCATGTATATATTCAGAAACTAGAAGGTGTTAGCTTTCAAATAATGTATCACACATGTAATTTGGGCTTACAGTTCCTCAGTTATTTGTTTTTCCATTTGGGTATGCAAAACAGCCGAGGATTACTTCAAATTAGGGGGGTTTTAAGACGTTTTAAAGCGTCTACTACTGATCATTTACCAGGTTTCTCCTTCAATAACAAATAAACGATCAGCGTGCATAAAGATGCAGATAGTTGAGTAAAAACTCAATTTTAATTATCCATAGAATTTTTTATTTATTTAACATGGTTACAGTCAGGCATTATTGGGACTCAACTATGACTTTCCCCTTCAATACTTGATACTAGGCTTGAACTTTGAATATACCTGTTGAACATCCCTTTGATATAGATAGGATGTGTTAAGATCCCTAAAACATTTGAATATTTCTCCTTAACCCTATAATGCCAAATGTATCATATTTGATACATACGGTTTCTGAAATGTTTTGCGTCTGACACCTTTTGCATAATTTAATGGTAAAAACTTTGCTCAAAATCCTACTGTACACAATCAGATATACCTGATAACAGAGGGCACAAAAAGACTGCACAAAAAATAATCTTGACTTATCGCATAGTAATAAATTATTAATATCAAAAATGTACTTCTGTTTTTTTCTTT